GCGGCGGCCTGTCGCTGGGTGCGACCGTCATGTCAGAATCCGAGTCGGAAAGCTGCCCGTCTTCCATGTCGCCGGCCTCCAGCGCCATGTTCCCGCGGCGCGGCGGGTGTGGAGAGCACTTCCGGCGGGCGGCGGGAAGGCCCAGCCGGCGGCTGCTGCTCGGGCGCCCCCGTGTGGGGAGGCCCGCCCCAACTGCCTGTGGGGCCCGGTCGTCCAGACTGACCCATGACGCAACACCATTGCAAGAATTCCAGCTACCCCGGGAAAAAGAACCCCTTGGGCCTCCAACACTTTTGTTCCAAGCTTTGTCCCGGGGCGAACATAAGTATGTGCCCAGACAGCGGTCGCCTGAGAGTCCTCCCTTGGCCTCCCACCCCTCACCTGGATGCTCTGGACTGTCTGTCCTCCCCGCTTCCGTTCTTGCTCCTCCACAGTCCGCTCTGCATGCAGCTTCCAGGGGAGCCTTTTACACAGTACCTGAAGTCATTGCCTTTTTCTTCTATCCAGGCCCTCAACTGATTAGGTGATGCCCACAAACATAACGAAGGGCCATCTGCTTTACTCAGTCTACTGACTCAAATGCTAATCTATTCCATAGACACCGTCACAGACACATCCCAAAATAAGGTTTAACCAGATATCTGGGTACCCAGTTAAATTGACACATAAAATTAAGCATCACACCATTTTAGTGCGTGTATTGTAATATCTAATTGTGGCTTTAATTTGCATCTGCCTAATGAGTAATGATTTGAGCATCCTTCCATGTGCTTTTTTGCCATTTGGTTATCTCCTTTGATGAAGAGTCTGTTTAAATTTTTTGTCCATTTTTAAAAAGACAGGTTGTTTTTTTTTCTTTTGGTGGGTGGCTGGAACAGGGATCAAACCCTGGACCTCGGTTTTATCAGGACCACGCTCTAACAAACTGAGCTAATCAGTCAACCCCAACAATGTCCTTTGAAGAGCTAGTTTTTAATGTTAATAAAATCCAATTTATCAATTTTTTTCTTTTATGATTCATTCTTTTTGTGTCCTAAGAACACTTTGAGTAACCCAGTGGTTCTCCACTGAGGGCTATTTGCTCCCTAGAGGACATTTGGCAATGTCTGGAGATGTTTCTAATTGTTATAACTTGGGGGGGGGGTGCTACTAATATGTAGGGGGTATAGACCAGAGATACAGCTAAACAACCTATAATGCATAAAACAGCCTCCAACAACACTTTCTTTCCTATGTTTTTCTCTAGAAATTTTAGAGTTTTAGCTCCTACCTTGAGGTCTATTCTATGGTTGGGTTTGAGTTCAATATTCTATATAGTATGAAGTAGGAGTCAAAGTTCATTTTTTTGCATGTGAATATCCAATTAACATACCACCATTTGTTGAAAAGTCTATTCTTTCCTCATTCTATTTCCTTGACACCTTCATTGAAAATTGACCAATGGAGGGTACTGCAAAAAGTTCCTGGAAAGATACATATTATCTTTCGATCGTATTTTTCCAGGACCTTTTTTTTTGTGTGTGGCTGACCAGTACGGGGATCAAATCCTGACCTTGCTGTTATCAGCACCATGCTCTAAACAACTGAGCTAACCAATCAGCCCTCACCACAAACTTTTTGAAAAGTACCCTCATATATATGAGGGTTTATTTCTGGGTTCACTATCTGAACCCCTATATTCTGGGTTCCACTGATCTTCATGTCTATGTTTACTCCAACATGATCCTTTCTTGGTTATTGTAGTTTTGTTATAATTGTACAATTGTTGTAATAATTGATCAAATTAGGTAACATAAATTTTTTTTAAAAAATATCTTTTTGGCTATTCTAGATCCTTTGCAGTTCCCTTTAAATTTGAGAATAGGCTTGCCAATTCTGATATTTTGATTGGGATTGCACTGATTCTGTAGATTAATTCAAACATTGGGGAGGCTATCTTAGCCTGATGCCATTAAACACTGGACTCACGTACTGTTAATCAAGAACTCCTCTGATTCTGGACTCATTACACAACTAGATAGATCATTTATTTCCAGGAGAGAATGCAATGATTGAGGTATGTGAATGGTTGGTCCTCTCTGAAGATAATTTTCCCCATAAAATGATAATCCAGCATTCTGACTGTAGCATCATTTTTTTGCGAGAGTGATTAATGTGAGCTTTCCCAGGACAATAGTGTCACTTACCAATGAATTGACAAATCATGTTATGAGTTTTTGAGATCGAAATAGTATCAGTGGAAGCTGCTAACCCACGTTCCAGCCTGTCGAGAGTGATTAATGTGAGCTTTCCCAGGACAATAGTGTCACTTACCAATGAATTGACAAATCACGTTATGAGTTTTTGAGATCGAAATAGTATCAGTGGAAGCTGCTAACCCACGTTCCAGCCTGTTCTTTTCTTTCTGGGTGATCTGTTGGTCATGCTTGCCTGAGTGTGAGATTACCTTTCTGTTCTTGCAGTTCACCTCACTTCTGTCCTTTGTAGAGCAGTGGTGTATCCAATGAACTTATTGTTAAGGGATGCCCCAACCCCTACTGACCTTAACATATGCATTCTGCTTCTGTACAAGTCGCTTGCTAAAATAAATGGGGGAATAAACGAAGTAGCATAACCAACGCCATTTTAGGCGACTCTGCCATTTTAGCCTGAAAAGTCCCTATGGGGAATCCAGGGTGGGGAGGGGCTACAGGGCTAACCACAAAATTAGCTTATGTACCTCTGGCTTGCTTGCATTGGCTAGATTATGTCAGGCGCGAAAAAGTCCCGCCTAGCTAAAAATAAAAGCTGCGAGAGGTTTCAACTCCGGGCTGCGCTCCTTGATTGGCCTATGTAGCCCTGGCTGCCAGAAATAAACTCTTTTCCTTTTCCTATCACCCGGTTCTTGTGGGCAAATTTCTTTTACCCGTTGGACGTTGGCCGTAACATTGTTTCCTGGTTTTGAATCTTGTGAAAAAAATTTTTTTGGTATTTTTCTTGAAGGTTAAACATTTGCATAAATTTTAAATATATTTGGTTTATTACAATAAAGGCTTTAACACCAAAAAAAAAAAAAAAAAAGGAATGGTATCCTGAGTGATGGTGATTTCACCAATTTAATGTTGCCTTGGGGCAGGCAGGACTGTTCAGATCACATCCCTCAGCCTCCTGGCCAGCTATCCTTGAAAAACTGACAGCTAGCATTCATTAAGGATGTTCTAAGCACAAGTCATTTGTACCTATGCTGTGACCCCAGAGTCCTTGTTTTAATCACCTCCCTATGACACCTTTGACAAGTCATTAAAAAGCAGAATTGGCCATTTGTGACCTATGCCACTTTTAATACAGAACTGGTTCAAGGTGCCCTGAGTTCAGTGAGTACATTTACATTTCTATAGGGCTTTGCAGTTTCAAACTGCTTTTTTATATGATTCATTTAAAGCTATCACTTCCTGCTCTGCCCCATCAAAATTCATCATTTCTGATTTTTCCTAACTCTTGCTGTTCATGGCTAAGTGAGTTTTGAAAAAAGGAGGTGGAAGAGAGAAGCAATCCCTATTTTCAATGTGGGTAGTTTCTGGTGCCTAGCTTCCCAGAACTGGTTTAGGAGGACAGCCATAAACCTCTTTTCTTGACAGTGAAGAGAAGGAAGTTAACATTCCTCAAGGGTTAGTTGTGTGTCGCTCCTAAAATTTAGAGCACCTATAAATGTTTTTTCATTTTGTTCAATGGAATGCGGGAGAAGAGAAGAAAGGGTGTGGTTTTGGAATATGTGTACAAAGAATCTTGCTGGCTGATAGAAAGTGATGAGAAATCAGTTAAAATGTATGAGAATTAAAATTACAGAAATGAGCGCCTCAGTCCTCAGGGTAGGTGGAGGACAGTAGCTGGTTGTTAATAGAGATAACCAATGCTAGACAGAGTATCCATGCCTGCTACTCCTGAGGTGTGTTCATAGGCTTACTTGTTCATTCATTCATGCAAACAGACATGAGCCTGGCACAGAGTTGGGAACTGTGGAGCAATGCAAGGATGAGTCAGATAGTTCTTGACCCAACAAGAAGAAATTTAACATTTACAAAAAGAAGCATTATTCATATATCTCTAGTACTTACTGCAGTTTCTGGTAGGTGCTTGATACATGCCTTGGGTTTGTTGAAATCATTTGAGCTTTTAGGGTGGAACAGATAAAGCTGAAGCTTGAATGCAGAGATGGAAGGAAGGGTTTCACAGGTGGAGAGAACAGCAAGGACAGAGACACAGAGAGGAAAGCACAGGCTTTGTATAGAAACATAAAGTGACTTTGGCTGCAGTGTGGAAGGCCAAAACGCAAGTAGTGAGGAACAATATTTTGAAAAACAGGCTGGGAATCACTGACACACCTAACAATTTACTTGAGAGGTCATATACTGTATAACTCAATTCCAAATAATACTGATTGAGATGTTAGTATTTCCCCTATATAGGGTAGGCCTAGTTATTGTGGAAGGAGATGAGGTATGGTAAGGATATGGGTGGTGGAAAGGATATTGCAGGAAGGCAGAAATGAAAGAAACTGATCAAAACTGTCTTTGTTCTTCGAATGTAAGGCCTTACCCAGGCAGGCTATTTAGAATGAAATACAATAATTTAATTTTTTCTATTAATTAGAAAACCCTAATATGTAATTTATCAAAGAAGTAAAAACAAACAACCCTCCTCCTCCTCCCACCAAAAGAATCTCCCTTGGCTACTCCAGAGACCAGCTGCGTCACCCTCACTTGGAAGCTGGTTAGAAACGCCTACTCTCAGACACCAGCCCAGACCCACCGAATCAGAATGTGCATTTCACAGGACAGCCAGGTGATTGCATGCACATTACATTGGAGAACCCCTGCTCTAACCTACTGTACTTTAGAGCCAATATTCTGCTAAAAAGAATTGCTAGCCGGCCCCGCGGTTCCCGGCGTTTTTCACCAGATGTTAATTGCCCTTTCGCTCTTTCCCTGTGGCACTCCCATGGTTCCAGGCGGGGGCTGAGCTCCGGGTTTCTCCGGAAGCCCCGGAGCCGACCGGGCGGCGAGCCCGGGGGAGG